AGGGAAGCTGCTTGCCCATGTCATACTGAAGAGGCTCCAGGTGCTTGCAGAGAGAGTCTATCCAGAATCACAGTGTGGATTCCGAGCCAACAGGTCCACCATTGACATGGTATTTTTCCTTAGACAGTTGCAGGAGAAATGCAGGGAACAAAGACAGCCACTTTTCATAGACTTCATAGATCTTACGAAGACTTTTGACTTGGTTAATAGGGACAGCTTATATAAAATTCTCCTCAAGATTGGATGTCCACCTCAGCTCCTCAATATCATCAGGTCCTTTCATGAGATAGGAAGGGCACTGTTGTTTTTGATGGCCTAACATCAGATTCCTTTGACATTCGAAGTAGAGTGAAGCAGGGCTGTGTCCTTGCGCCAACCTTATTCAGGATCTTTTTTGCAGTCATGCTGAAACACGCTTTTGGAACTGCAACAGAGGGTATCTATCTCCAGACCAAATCAGATGGTAAACTCTCTAGATTGAGAGCAAAGTCTAAAGTCCAGCTGAAATGCCTATGGGATTTCCTCTTCGCTGATGATGCTGTCGTTACTGCTCACTCTGCCGAAGATCTTCAACAATTTATGGACTGTTTTAGTAAGGCCTGCCAAGACTTTGGTCTAACATTTAGCCTGAAAAAAACACAAGTCATGGGTCAGGATGTGGATCCACCTCCCTGTATTACAATCTCTGCACAGGAACTGGAGGTTGTCCATGACTTTGTGTACCTCGGCTCAACTATCTCTGACACTCTCTCTTTAGATACTGAGCTGAATAAATGTATTGGTAAAGCGGCCACCAGATTTTCCAGACTTACAAAGAGAGTATGGCTTAATAAGAAGTTGACAGAACATACAAAGATTCAGGTCTATAGAGCCTGCGTCTTTAGCACACTCTTGTACTGCAGTAAGTCTTGGACCCTTCATGTACAGCAGGAGAGAAAGCTGAACACCTTTCATATGTGCTGTCTCCGACATATTCTCGGCATCACCTGGCATGACAAAGTCCCAAATAGTGCAGTCCTGGAATGTGCTGGAATCTCTAGCATGTATACACTATTGAAACAGCAATGTCTACGCTGGTTTGGGCATGTCGTGAGAATGGCTGACAGTCGGATTCTGAAAGATCTTCTGTATGGAGAAGTAGTGCAGGGAAAGCGCCCCAGAGGGAGACCTGAGCTGCGATATAAGGATATCTGCAAGAGGGACCTAAAGGCCTTGGGAATGGACATTAACAGTTGGGAATCCTTGACCTCTGATCGTTCAGCCTGGAGGCTAAAGACGCAGCATGGCCTTCTCCAATTCGAAGAGACACTTGTGTGGCAGGCTGAGGCAAAGAGGCAGTCCCGGAACCAGTGAAATCTGGGGGCTGGACAGGGGACAGATTGTATCTACCCTCAGTGTGGAATGAACTGCCATTCTCGAATTGGCCTTTTTAGCCACACCAGATGCCTTAGGGCCTCTTTCCAGAGCACAATACCATAGTCTCTCGAGACTGAAGGATGCCAACCTAAGGCTTAATGTGAACTTCATTTGTAAAGCAGAGCTTGTTACTTAGCAAGTTGTGTGAAAGCATCTAGTTCTGATTAATTAGCATGAGGTTGTTATCTACTGATTGGATGACTAACTGAAGAAACTGTTACCGATGCTAAGAGCAAATGATATGAAAATGCAATTGGAACAGAATTTCTGCAGAAAAATACTGGGAAAGTGTCTCAACTCTATTTGAGACTCTAGAAGAGAGAATCCTGTCACCACATTAACACAGCTGTTTTGGCCAATCCATGGCAATGATACTGTCTTTCTGCCCCTTCTGCTGCAGAATGAATACTGAACAAATTGCAGCCATATGAATACTGAACAATACATATAAAATTGCTCTGCTAGAGCAGGCTAATGATGGGAAGAACACTTGACAATTTCAAATCTTGTCTTATGAAGGAAATAAAATGTCAACACATAGCTGCAAATGAATATAATCATGTTTCAAAGACTGCTTCTGAAAGAGAACAAAGCGAACTGGCAATTCATTGATTCTGTCCTTAAGTAGCTTAATGTTTTGATTTAGAGCTCTAGCTTTTTATTTTCATTACCAATCCTGAGCTTCCATCTTTATTTTCATGATTGGCTCTGAGGTTCCATCTATTAATGTGCAACATTATTTTTAAAAAAGACTTACACCGTCCAGGCAAGATCAATGCTGAAAAGAGCAAGGGAAAATTGTTTATTAGAAGAAAATTACAGCTTTGTGAATAATGGCAAAGGAGTTGCAGCTGGGGGCTCAAATGGAGCCTCCATTATGCTTATGATTAGGGATAATATGTGAGAGAAAGAGAATTGCAGAAAAGTAGATTAGTTGAGTGGGGAAGGGACTAATAAACTTCAGATAGTTTTCATGCATTTTCTACCTATTTAATTTTAGGAACATTATTACTTATAAACAGGAAGCAGCTCACATATTAAGATAGAAAGAACTTTGCTTTTTGAAGCATGGGGCTTTGTGTGAAGCTAATTACTTGGTAAACTATGGTTAAAAATCCTGACAGTTGTTAAAGCTATAATTTGAGCACAGACTCAAAAAGGATTGGTTTGAATGTAGGAAAAATAAAGGGCCAGGAAGATCTCTATCTTCTGTTTTAAAATGTAGCTCTGTCCCCAGGTGTCCCTCCTTTTTTTAAAAAAAAAAAAAAAAAAAGAGCATTGGAAATCTTGCCTGTTCCACCCTCCCAGATGCCAAATGCCCTGCTTGGGGAATTGCTGCTATCAGCAGCCAGCAGAAGCACTGATTCTGGCTTATCTTCTTGTGGCCCAGAAAGGTCACTGTTGGTTGTTAATCAGCTCAATATCTGGAGGCTCTTTGAGAAAGGTTAATAATGGTTTTGTTCATGTAACAGGGTTGTTTTATAAAGAGCCTACCTCTATTCGATGGAGACCGTGCATAATCTGCTTTAACTACTGTGTTTAAAAAGTGACTGCTGCCGGCCTGCAAAGTTTTTCTCTCATCGCTTGAATTTATAGGGGAAAATGTAGGGTGGCTCTTAAAAACTTCCACAAGTTTTCTAACTCATTCCAGGGTTACTTAAGTCTGACACCGCTTCTCCCTCTCTGATATGTCCTTCCTCTGTGAGTCGCCATCTGATTTACATGACGGTATTAAATAATCAAATACATAGAACTTCAAAGGAAATAATATTTAGTCATATCTCCATTTCTTGGCCGAGAGAGTTAGCGTTGTTCAAAGACATTTTTCAGGGTCATGTGGCCAGCAAGGCTACATGTCATAATAATCGCTGGCTATGAGACTGTGAATGTTTCAGATACAAAATATCTCAAAGGGGCAGTGATATTTATGTCTGCCTTATTCCATTCCCATTTGCTCATCTTTTTCCCCTGCATAAACTAAAATGCAACAAGCATTTTATCATATTGGGATTTGTAAGGTGCTTTCAATACCTTTGACTAAGATGGCTCAGTGGTTAAATACATTACAAAGCTGCAAAGCTGACAGCCTGGGTTTGAGATCCAAACACCGTGTGACAGGGTGAGCTTCCATTACTTACCCCAGCTCCTGCCAATCTAGCAGTTCAAAAGCATGCAAATATGAGTAGATAAATAGGTACCACTTTGGTGGGAAGGTAACAGCCCCACAGCATATAGTCATGCTGTCCACATGACCAGGGAAAATGTCTTTGGACAATGTTGGTTTCCTCAGCTAAAAAATGGAGATAAGCACTGCCCCTAGAGCTGGACAGGGACAACTTTTACCTTTATTTTTATACATTTGACTGCTATAATTTCCCTTTCTGATTTCTGATTTCCCAGTCCAATGACATTGCTAATAGTTTCAGTAAATTTACTTAATATTTCCCTCCACTCCAACTTGTGATCTTGTAGATATTACTGACATATAACTCACATCCCAGATAAACTAGTAATTTAATTAGTGAAGGGAATCAGGGACAATAAACAAATAGCAGACTCCTGAGTGAACTCAGTGTTTTAGAGTAAGCATTTGCACAGTGAATCCCTTCAATACTCCCATCAGGCCTAACCTTCTGCTGGTTGAGAATTTGCAGCCAGTTGCTGGAGAAGAAACTGTATTCACAATGAAGTCTTGCTATTCCTTGACTCAGCAAGATGACTGCAAAACATACAATAAGAAGGACATTCAAAAGGGAAGACTCTGTATCCACCACCACTGTCATCTTTTCCATTTATCCAAATTTTAGTTGTTTTCATTTCTTTGTAATTAACTCTGAATAAACTAATAATCAAATTTGATACATTTTAGAACATGGCAATCTGTATACCTTCTTTTACACCTTTGTGTATATTCTAGTTTTGGTCATTCATACAAGCATAGGATTGCTGATAGGTTTATCACTACTTAGATGACAAGCATTTGGGAAAAACTTTTAGGAGAAGGATGTACAGCTAAACATTGGAGGAACTCCAAGTGGATGATTGGATGACCTTATAGCGACTCTTTTCTGCTTGAAAAAGAAAATGTATGAGATGTTGAACAGAGCAATTATAAGTGCTGGCTTGTCCAGACTACAATAGAAAAGGAATTTTACTGACTCCTGAACACATACTGTAGCCAGGCAGTAAGCTTCAACTATAACAGTTACTTTAATTAATTGAAGCATTTAATTACCCTCAGGATGCTTTAAAATGAAAGTTAATATCTGATTGAAGAAATTTTAATTGATTAGTCTATCTAATCTAAATAGTCTGAAATCTGATATAAATCTATATTATGGGGCTATTTTACCGAGTTAATCCAATTAAGTAATTGTGTATAATATATTTTGAAGTTTTGGAATGGCTAAATATTTGAGAATTGTTTTGTGATATAGGTTTTGTAGAAATTAAACAATATCTCTCTTGTATTGGGTCCAATCCAGTTGTGGCACAATTGAGAAATGTTATGATTGCCACTTAGATTTCCTGGGTCTGCCAGCCTGCTTGCCTTGGGTGTTATATGTCTGTACTTCAGCCTGGTCATTTTACTTCACTGTTCTCTGTTTGACATATGCCAATGAACAATGAAACAGACATGGCCCTCATATTTGGAGAGGCCAACAAGCTGCATGCCAAGTAATATCTTGGGAGAAAGCATGTTATAATTGAGGTTATTTACTATGCCCCCCACTTTACTGCTTTCTTGCACAGAATGGAAGCATTGGGCTTTCAAAAAGCTGTCTTCCCTCCCAACTGGCACTGTAAAATTATTGTCTATAATTACCTTCCAGCTAAAATCCAGTTCCCCCTCCTGCTTTTCAGGTTCTTTTTTGCTCAGTGGAGTTAACAATCACCTCTCTCACCAGGGAGCATTTCAAATGACAGCATGTCTGTTTAAAAATAAAATGAAAAATTTATGACTATAAAACACTTCTCTATTCATCAAATAGAATGTACAGTGATAAATGGAAGAATAAAGAGACCTGGGGGAATATCTGATACCCAGCAAACTGAGTGGTATATTTTAATTCAGCAAACAGAGTTTGAACAAGTGTTTGACTTCTTTTGTTAAGCCTTGGACTGTGCATATTCAGCCATAATCTTATGTCTTCTGCCTTAATGTAACTATGTTATATTCTTCCTGTATTCAGTAATGGGGATTAAAATCCACAATTTAAGATTCAGTAACCCCCAGGTATACTTTCAACGTTGCCATGCATTAATTGGGAGGATTTGATTTGACCTTACTTCCTTGAGAAAACTCTATGGAGATTCTCAATCATCCAGGTCATGGTTGTCCCAAAGGTGCTCTTCAAAAGGCAACTGGATATTTTTTTCCTTGAAAACGTTTCACTGAAAACTGAAGTTCAGAACTGAAGAAGCTTCTTGGATGAGAAGCAAAACATTTTAAAGGGGAAAAAAACCAAGAAAGTCCAGTTGCCGTTTGAAAAGCACCTTTGGGATTCCTTGAGAAAAAGTGTTTAAATATTTGTAGCTTATCAGTGTATTCAACAATATAAGATTGTGATGATTCATGGGTAGATTTGCCATGATTTCTAAAAGATTAGAAATTAGAAATAGAGGCAAATTTAAACAAATAACAATAACTTTAATATGTTGTGGGAAGTCAGCCCCCCCCCCCAGAGAAGGAAATATTAAAAGGGCAGAATATTATATTTCCTCAAAGGATCTTAAAGAGGCAGAAAAGCATGCCCAGTTTTTCTTAATAGCCCCAAGTCTCCCTCACCCAACCAGAAACCAGCTCTGTAGAAATGCAGATGTAATAATCCGTTCAGAAAAGTTGGAGCCCTCCAGCTAGAAGCTTAGGAAGACAAAAATACCTAAAATCTACATAGCCCACCCAAACTCTAAGACAGGAAACATAATAGGATTAACCCACCACCACTAGAATGCCAGAAAGGCACACTCAGACTCAGGTCAAAGTACATGACACAGGAAATACAAAGCCTCAAACAGGAACAGGAAACAACTCCAAACAAAAGCCCAAGAGGGTATAGAAACCCACTACCTACTACATGTGCTCCCTTTTCTTCTTTCCAGCCATCTTTCTGTCTGGCTCCCCTCTTCAATAAACTACAACCTTCTTTCTAAAGTAATTGCCATGTTGTTTATTCCCTGCTTGGATTGGACCCTGATGAAAACTTTTCCTTCAACAATATTGTCTTTATCCAAACTGCTCTCTTTCCATATAAGACATAAAAGTAATATATTTACCTAAATGTTTTAGTATGCTGAAGTTCAACTTAGTTTTCATAGTTATTGATTTTCACAAAAATTTCACAAACACTTTTAAAAAAGCAATTAAGATAACAATGATTTTCACCTTCATAGTGATCTCAAAAGATGAAGACAATAATATTCGATTGAAAAGGAATTAAAATTGTATCTCTACCAATTGTATGCTTTATATAGCTTCTGACGCATATTTGATCTATTACTGAGAAATTGTGAAGTTATGAATGAATATTGCTGATCATTAATGGTTCTTTTTCATGGTTTCCATGTAACTGAATGTTGGAAAACTTCCTATACCTGTGACAGAGCAGCAAGTATACAGCAAACAAAGCTGACAGAATAGCAAGCATTCACCAGTAACTGTAATATCTAGTTCCTGGACCTTGAAATATACTCTAAATAATAGCTATTTTTCAACAGAAGAACAGAGTGACTATCGAACTATCACATTTTTGTAATTTTGTCAAAACTACCAAAGGCTTGACTAAAACAATAACATGCATGACTAAACAGGAAATAAAATTAAGATAAAAAAATGACTGAAAACCACTATTCCACTGGAAAGCTTGCACTTAAAATCAAAATCAATGCCTAAATGCCTAAAATAAGAAATGTCATTGCTTGGTACCCAAAAGACATTGACAAATATAATAATCACATGCAGTGTAAAGTGCTGAAGCCTAGAATCAGCTTTTTCCAACCCGATGTCTTCAAGCTCCCAAACTCTCTTGCAATAAAAATGTTGATTGTACATTTTGTGAGTTTGTACAGTAATCCCAATACACCCAATACACTAAATTGAAAAAGACTCATGTAAGGAATAAAAAGATCTGAAGGAGGAGAATTATTTTGATTGCATTTTGATCAGTATGAGAAGGAAACAAACAGCTAGAATATTTCTGGAAATCTAATATGGAAATATGAATAGCATGGAATTGCAGCATACATTTATTCTGATAAATGAGATTTCCTGTCTCAATTAATCTTCCTTTTATAGGTCCAAAGTGAATTGTTTTTCAAAGCCATCATGATTTTATATGAACAAATTACAATTCTTTATTGAATCATTTATATTGGTCATTTTGTTTGAGTTTGCAATAAAACCCACCGTGTACTGAATGTCAATTAATTGTTTTATGTATGTACACTTTACAAAATATCCTGAAGCCCTAAGCCAGTAACAGCCATTTTCTTTGCTTTCATAACACCTCTGAAAGGGAGGTAGCTACTTTAACACATGACAAACTAAAAATGCCATACACATTTTTTTATGCAAGTCCAGTTGCTCAATCCATGACATTCTACTATTGAAATTGGATATATTCAGTGGATTAAATAATGTATTTCATTTATCTAGTGTGGAATGTATTAATTTATCCCTATATTTGAAAGGGACAGGTAAAGAAAAGAGAGGATTTCTAATGATATACAATCAGATTGCTTTGCTTGGACTTTTATTTACAGTATTATCCTTTACTTCTAACGTAGTATTCATTAAGATTTCTGATTGTGGCAATTTAAATGTTTGTCAGTAAGTTCAGGTTCAAACTCTGCTAAAAATGAAACTCTTTTGTGGGAGTAGGGTGTACTATTCCTAAAAAGGACTGTCTGGTCTGTTGGACAATTCTCATAGGTCTTTCAAAAAACAAAATTCTGATCATTGTGACATCTTCCAGCAAAAGACAATGTCCACCTGGCTGTTCGTTTGCCTTGCTAAAAAGAATGAAATGTAGATATGGACTGGGGATGTAGTCTGGGATTTTTTCATTGGTGCTTTTTTGCCTGTGGTCCTTTTTTCACAATAAATAGTTAAAAGGCAATTAGAATGTTAATTTGTGGGGCTAATATGCTACAGTGGAAGCCACATGGACTAATATGGTGAGCCCATCAGTTTGAATTAACAGTGCAGGGTATCCAGGGAGTTCTCAGAGTGACTGAAAAAAGAAAATAAAAAACCAACCCCATCAGTGTGTTATCAAGGTTGACACTGAAAATGATGCAATCATAGTCAAGTGTCCCTGAAGGACCATAGTACTGAATAAAAATAAAAGCTGCTCTCAATCTTTTCTTTGATTCAGTGAGAAGTATATTAATAGCTAAAGCATAAATTTCATTCCAGGTTCTTCTATTTTTGGTTTTTAAAAGCTACTTTCCTGTGTTTGTGTATATTATCTTCCAAGTTATACAAGCAAGTTTAGTAAATATGGAAGAGTGTGATGCTATTTTGTGATGCAACTTTTGTGATGTAATTTTGTTTTCACTCCTACCACTGCAGAAAAATTTGCTTAAAGTACATAAAATGCTCCTGTTCATGTTCCACACAGTCATCCTCCTCAATATGCGATTTCATCCTCCAATCCAACAGTCAGTCAGTATTCCATGGCTATTAAGCATGCTTGGTTCTCACTAACCTCATGACAACCCCAGCTTTTCAATTTGAGGCTACAGAATCTATATGAATAAAGGACATGTCCTAGATATATCAAAAGTAATTCATCTGTGTCACAATAATGACTTAGCTTTATGTGACATTGATATGTGCAGAAATCACTTGGGGGGAACATCTACTTACCCATCAGGCATTACCCAACCCAACTAATGACAATCAAACCCAATATAGAGTAACATTATAGTAAAAACAGAAAAATGTTATCATTTACGAAATGACATTCAACATTGTGTTACATTTATATTACCTGTGGAACAAAAGCTGACTTAGGGAATTTAAACTCAATGAAAGACTTCAGAGAGAGTATCAACCTGGCTTCCTGAGGATCTATGTTTGACCCTTTCCTAACTAACTATGGGTCTATAAAATTCTTTTTATGGACAATAAAATAATAGTAATGTACAAAAAATATGTGCAGTATATACTCAAATGGCCAAATATAATACACACACACTCAGAGATACATTACACACAGGCATTCTAACAAGAGCAAAACAATGACAAGAATAAGTAACAAGATAGTGAAATTCAAACATCAAAGGCTATCTTAAATAATTCTGTTTTAATAGTTTCTGAAAACTTAATAAAATAGGGGCTGCTTGAAATTTACAGTGATAAATGTTCCAAAGAACCACTGATGCAACAAAGAAGCAATGTTTGTGGGATTATATCCTTCTTGGCCCTCTAAAGTGGAAATTATTAACTGATTCTCTCAGGGACTTCTCAACAGGTGGAGAAGAAAGTATGCTGGCACCTGGTTGTTAAGCCATGTGGGGTTTAAAGGTCAAAAGCAGCACAAAGAGAGTGTATGCTTAACTGTCTCAAACAATACTCTCTAGAATTCATATTACTAAATATTGGATGGATTGTACTGTTCCGAAGAATTTTAGATAAAGATTCTGCTTCCTTTTAAATTTGATATATTTTTCACTGGTATTGTGATTGGCTGCTGCAATTTTTCTTTTAACATGTAACAGAAAGCTTAAGAAATATAGATAGAAGTGGGCTATATGATCGCTTGATAGAAATAAACACAGCTAGCCAAACTAAACATATACAGCTGCTATTTATTGTATTTTTCAGTTTCCTTAAAACAATTTTCAGTAATTTGCATTGGATGATTATTTGAAGGGACTTAAAATCTAATATCTAAAATGTTTTCATGTAAATACTGAATGAAAAGTT